AAACCCTGTATCTAATTATATCCAAATTATTATATATGGGAAACCTTGTATCTAATTATATCAAAATCATTCTATATGGAAAACCCTGTATCTAATTATATCCAAATTATTATATATGGGAAACCTTGTATCTAATTATATCAAAATCATTCTATATGGAAAACCCTGTATCTAATTATATCCAAATTATTATATATGGGAAACCTTGTATCTAATTATATCAAAATCATTCTATATGGAAAACCCTGTATCTAATTATATCCAAATTATTATATATGGGAAACCTTGTATCTAATTATATCAAAATCATTCTATATGGAAAACCCTGTATCTAATTATATCCAAATTATTATATATGGGAAACCTTGTATCTAATTATATCAAAATCATTCTATATGGAAAACCCTGTATCTAATTATATCCAAATTATTATATATGGGAAACCTTGTATCTAATTATATCAAAATCATTCTATATGGAAAACCCTGTATCTAATTATATCCAAATTATTATATATGGGAAACCTTGTATCTAATTATATCCAATCATTCTATATGGGAAACCCTGTATCTAATTATATCCAAATCATTCTATATGGGTCACCCTGTATCTAATTATATCCAAATCATTCTTTATGGGAAACCCTGTATCTAGTTATATCCAAATCATTCTTTATGGGAAACCCTGTATCTAGTTATATCCAAATCATTCTTTATGGGAAACCCTGTATGTAGTTATATCCAAATCATTCTTTATGGGAAGCCCTGTATCTAATTATATCCAAATCATTCTTTATGGGAAACCCTGTATCTAATTATATCCAAATATACCTTTTCTAAAGGAGGTGTGTTACAATACTGAAGGTATTGAACATATGTAGAACTTAAATTAACAAATGTAATTATTAATATCGAGAGAGGCTGACATTGACCTATTTTTAACCAGGCCGAATTGTAATTTATATTCTTATTTCGATAAAACTTGAGTTTAGTGTCTACAAATCTTATCGCGTACCTTGCTATATATATATGCATTCAAAAACTAAAAATGAGGCATTTTTTCCCATCAATATAAACAATGTTAAAGGCAGCGGCGTTGTCTGAAATTGAATCTAAGATAAAGTTATGTACAACAAAAACTAAAACAAAAAAGATACTATTTAATAAATACAAAATAAAAGTGAACATAGAAAAAATAAATGAATGAATAAAATATTTAATGAAAAAAAACAGATGATAAATCAAAAAAGGAGAGATAAATAAAAGAAATAAAAAAGTAAAAAAAGTTATAAAACCTTGAGATCTCCCTGGTATATCACTGCATCTCTTCCACGAAACAAGGAAAGGGCAGGAAACTTTTTAATCCCAAAACTTTTTCCAAACCTGGAAAAAAAACGTTTTGAAAATTTTAAAAATGTTTTAAATCAATTTTTCTTTAGCATGATAGATTTAGTTGAGAGATGTGTCTATAAGAATTACCAAAAACTGATTTTAACGTAAAATATTCGTTAGTTTTTGTACGGACACAAGAAACGTATCAGCTGTATTAAGTTTAAACTGTGTGCCGCGTACACCAGGTTTTACAGGAATATAATTGCGGAATTTAAACTGTTTTCGAGAGATTTATACACGGAGCTCTCAGTATTTGCTGAACAAATCAAGGTTTAAAGGGTATCGTTGAAAATTTGGCATTAACCTCTTAGTGCATGGAGTGGAAAATGAAATTACGCTGTCAGTCTCTTTTTAAACATTGATGAATCCTAATTAACCATGAGATTACAATCCTACCTCTTATCGTTGATTTTGGCAAACGTAATTCCAGATTTTTTTGCGTCATCGTCTATCTTCTCCAACTCTGAAATAAAGAACATTTCAAGCTTATGCAGAGCAGTAGTTTTTATTATTCAAAAATATATATTTAAATAAAAATGTACACTTCATAGTAATTGTATCAGATTTGCACCGTCTATTTTGCAAAGTAGTTGGTACAAATTTGCAACCATGCTGCTCTTCCAGTTGTTTTTGTAAACCAAAACGATTATGAAAAAATGTATATCAATGTTTTTCTTTTTATGGAAGTGGGGAAAGATTAATCAAATTCAATTTGTATTAAATACAATGACAGCTTACTAATTCTTTCATTTTATTGAACATCTATTATCTAGCTTTATTAAATAAGGGTAAGTATAGGTTTTGTTGTGCATCACTGGTACATTATTGGTTCATTATGGACAGTTATTTATTTCCTTGTTGTTAACTTAATTTGATGTTAAGTTTCTCTAATACTAAGAAATGTAAGAAAGGTTTGACCTGAATAATCGGTCAACTTGGGTTTCAAGCCTAAAGTTGGATACGGAGAAATTGGACTGTTGTTTATATCTATTTTTTACTTTTATATGATTTTGCTAGCAATCTGTGTGTTTTACTCATAATTTTAGAATATTAGTTTAAATCATGAAAAGGCTAAAACTATAACTCGCTACAGTTTCTGGGTTCAAGATGGATTTTTGAAATAGTTCACGGCATAGGTATTTGTGTTGATCGTTTTATGATAAATAAAAAAAGTAATACCTTTCAGAATAATTTCACTTCGTTTACAGTTTCTAGCGTACCAATACACTGCTGTATAGCCACTAGTGTCTAGAAGCTTATCCAGCTTTCCCTGAACAAAGACGACTTGTCAATGTTTAGTTTAAGATACGCGGCATTTGACCACATGACTCAAAGCTTATCTAGTTTTCCCTGAATCAAGGCGACTTTCCATTTAAAATTAGTTTAAAATATGCGGCTCCTGAAAAAAGACGACTTGCCGTTTGTTAGGTTTAAAATTCGGGGTCTTTGAGCAAAATGACTAAAAGTTTGTTTAGCTTCCCCTGGGCAGAGACAACTAGCCGTTTGTTTTACTTTAAAATTAGCGGCATTTAAGCAGTTTTCTGAAACGTTTGATTACCTTTCTTTTAACGATAAAAAACTTGTAGTTTGTTATAGTTCAAATTCGCGGAATTTGAGCAATTGACTGGAAGTTTATCTTGCTTTTCCTGAACAAAGATGACTTGTCGTTTGTTTAGTTTGAAAATCACGGCCTTTGAGCAAGTGGCTATCAAGTGTTTGTAGCTTTCCTTAACCTATTCCTGCTGGGGGGGGGGGGG